CCCCCTTACAGGTTGCATTTCTTTTAGAATTTGGAAAGAAACCCCTTCATGTTGAACCTGAAGACTGTAATCCTAAGTTGAACAATGAAGCAAACATTTAAAGACAATCTAAACCAATCAGAAACAACACAAAGTCCAGTTAGCAGCAGACTATCAGCTGAGTTGCGGCTGTATGTGTAACTGGCACCAGAGCCTGATTATGCTCAGAGACTGTTCTCCGTTTCTGCAGTTGTCCAGTGTGAACGCTTCCACCAGTGGGTCAGACTGATAGCTGGGGACGAATGACAATAGAATAAGTGAGCGCCGTCTATTTAACGAAATACAGCGATATTAAAAAGCCTGAACCACAAGAAATTCTAGTTTTAGCCAAGGGTACTCCAACAATACAAACATTTCAATAAGCTCAAACCACCTCTTCTTTACGCTCACCAAGCAGATAAAGTTTGGGTTAAATATGTTAGAAAACTACAATTCATAAATTATTCATCCGTCGTTATTCACTTAAAAGAAAGCCGGCTAAAAGTAACTTACGGTAGCCCGTTTGCTAGCGGTTAGCAACGTTAGCTTTGCCAAGCTAAATAGCTAATGTTGTGCTTATTAACTACAGGCAGGGAGCTTCTTTCTGGAGGTTTTCTGCCTAGCAAATATCTTTCAGCATCCCTGCAGTAAAAAAAAGGCAGCTTTACAGTCAAGCCTCTGCCGTCCAAGGCAGCAGTCAAACATTAGCGGAGTGCATTTGACAGTTTAAAGCGCGCAACCCTTCCCAGATTGCCACAATAGCAGCCAGCTTTCATTGAGCGCCACAGAAGGCGCTCTTTGCTGAATTCAAATTACCTGGAGCTGAACACTTTCGAGCAGCTGATGGAGCTGCTGACGTCGCACATGGCCTCATAAGTCGGGTCCCGGGCCTTTTCCCTCTCGACGTGAAACGCATACAGAGAAAGGAGTATGCCCAGCAGGCAGACGAGAAGCCGGGCTATTCTTTCCCACCGAGGGGTGGACACTCTCAGGACGGGCGCCGCCATCACTCTCTGGCCTAGCTGGAGACACGCATACACACGCAGCTGGTTCGCCTATGAGGCAGAGCTGCGACGTGGAAAAGCGTCAGGACGCGCCACACCGTGAGGGGCGGGCCGCTACCAATTAGCTTTTGGCAAGCAACACGGCTGAGAGTAGTTTTGTTATTTTGTAAATGCCGCTTTCAGTACCTCAAACCTCCCGGGGTGCCACCACTTTGGTAGTCGTTTCGAAATAGTATCCAACGGGACCTTTTCTTCTTTGTTTAATTGTGTCATAAAATAAAACAAAAGTAAAACTTTTATTTCTATGTTGGAAAAATAAAACAGAAAGGTTCTTAGAGTTCAGAACTTAATAATGGAGACCTCATAATCCAGTCTGGCTGCCTTGCATATAAAACTAATCACATCAAAGAATTTTATTTTTTTTATCTGCACTTCAGACAATTTGTCTGTAATTTAACTATACAGTTACCACAATGTTTGGTGGGGGGGGGGAGCAAAGAAACATACAATGAGGACATACAGTGAAATCAAAATTGTGTTTGTCTCTCTTCATGATAAATTTCACAATTCATTCATTTATTTAGTTAAAAAGTATTTTAATCAAATAGTAATACTTTCTTTTGGCTGTGGGGCTGCACAGTGGCGCACTTGGTTGCATCGTTGCCTTGCAGCACTCCGGCTTCCTCCCACAGTCCAGAAGCATGACTGTCAGGATAATTGGTCTCTCTAAATCACAGGTGTCAAGCTCCAGTCCTGGAGGGCCGCTGCCCTGCAACTTTTAGATGTGCCTCTGCTGCACCACACCTGAATAGAATAATTAGGTCATTAGTAGGCCTCTACACAAGAAGGAGGTAATTAAGCCATTTCAATTCAGTGTTTTGTACCTGTGGCACATCTAAAAACTGCGGGACAGCAGACCTTGAGGACTGGAGTTTGTGGATGGTTTGTCTTGTCTGTCTCTGTGTTGCCCTGTGACAGACTGGCGATCTATCCAGGGTGTACCCCGCCTCTCGCCTGAAACGTTCGCTGGAGATAGGCACCAGCACCTCCTGGCCCCACTAAGGGACAACGGTGTTAGAAAATGGATGGATGGATGGTTTTATTTATGAGTGTTACTTCCTTCTTATTATTTCCTCTACCTTAAAATCACCTTGCGTTGTGAATTTCCTCTTTACATTCCTTTGTCTGCTTCTCATTATACCGCCTTCCTGCGTGCTTCATCATGCAAACGATGGCGGCTGCTGTGAAATGTAAGGAAAATACAGATAGGAATAAGCTGAGAGTTTCAGTTCAGCCATGGTGCTACTGCACAACTAAAGTCCCTTCACAACAAACAGTTTCCGAAGCAAGTTCTAAAAAGTTCAAGGAATCCAATTAAATAAAGCATAACTCGATGAATTAACCGATTGAATCAATTCTTCTTTACTTGCTGTTTCCACCATCCTGAGTACATGAGGAGGAATGACTTCCTTTTAGAAGGAAGAAACCTGCAACATGAACAAACTTAGAAAGGAAAAAAAGAAGGATGCAGTAAAGGAAAACAAGATAATAACGACTATGTAGAAAAAGTTTTCCAAAGAAAATTAGGAAAGTCCAAGACAGAGCCATTTATATATTTCTTTTTACCATGACAGCTTGTGTTGCACCTCAAAGCAAGTTTGTATTTCAGTCATGTTTATGGACTGCTTCACCAATTGAACTTAAATGTATTTCATTAGGATTTTATGTGACAAACCAACACAAAAATAGTGAACATTTGAGAAGTGGAAGGTAACAGTTTTATAAATGTAAATGATAAAAGTGTGCTGTGAATTTGTATTCAGCCTTCTTTACCCGGATACCCCTAAACTGGGTGTGAGCCAATTGGTAAAAATTATCCCTCCCATAATGAAGAAATAACAATTCTGCTTTTCTTTCAGTACTGGAAAGAACTGATGCGAACTGACGAGGAGCACAATAGCGGCACTAAGCATACAGTCAGAGGTCCAATGAAATAAACCAGATCAAAACATTTTAATATGAGAAAAAAACGTGCCAGTCAAAATTTAGAAACTGTAAGACTTGAAGTTTGATGTTCACAAACACTCTACATTCAATATGATGTGCTTTCAGCAAATAAAAAGTCCTTAGATTTGCAAAACTGTAGGAGATGTAAAACACTACTAATGATGGACTTCACTTTTATCATTTTACTTGTGAATAAAATCACAATTAGGTTAGTTTATAACTGTTAATAATTCACATTGAATTTTTAATTTAATAATTACAAACTGTGAAACAAGTATTACTACTTTTTGCAATGCGTTAGGTGCAATTGTAGCTCTCAAAATTTAACAGCTGCACGTGTTGTTTTAAGTCTGTTTTTTTTATTTATTAATTCAATAAATAAAAAAAGATATCCAATTTCACATTAGGACACACCAGTAATAACAGCATAATAATAACTACCAAAGAGAAGGAGGCGCTATCACGTGACTTTGCGAATATAAACAAAGAGTGACATCATCTGTTTACTTGCTCCCAGACCCGACTGCGGGGATAAACAGCCGCTACTCCGCGTCTCCAAATGGCGACAGATATGGAAAGACTGGCTTCTTTCGAGGAGGCCTACTACGATCAGTACGACTACTACAACCTGCACGAATACTCCTGCCACGCCGGCGGCAAGGGCAGAACCAAGAGGGAGATCGAGCTGAACACGAACCGCCATTGCCCCGCTGGACACGAGAGGAAGATCGCTGAAAAATATCACAACAGCCAGATGAAGCGCAGAAGAACCAAGAGCGCGTCCTCATGATGCCATTGTTTTTTTTCTGGATGTTTAGGTGAGAATCGTAGTAGAAATGATCCCTTCTAGCGATCTAAATAGGGAAGCGATGTGTTGTTGTTGTTGTTTTCCCCATGCAGATATTTTGCTGACTAGTCAAGCTGCAGTGCACAGGCCGCATGTCTGAGCTGATCTCTGGCAGAACACAGCTGGTCTTGTTTGATCACATCATGCCACTTCAGATTTGAACATTTGCTATTATGTTGACGCGGCTATTTTATGACGAGGCTTGTTGGTTTAATATAGTTCTAATATGTTAAATGTGAAACATCTGCAGATGAATGCATTCAGGCAACTTCACAGCTTGACAAATAAAAACGTCGTGTTTATCATGCATGAAGTCTGATTATTGCTCTTGTAGACTCTGAATTAGACGTCTAATTCAAACATTTATCACTTGTTTTCCTGCAGACCAGTTGGATTTCTCATGTTGACCATGGCCACGAGTCTCTACCTTTCCTGATCCAGCAAATGGAGGCTGTGACATTGAGGGCATAGCCATTCATCCGTCACGAGACAGCACTCCGTTGCTAACCTGCCCTGTAACAGGAGCCACCCCTCTCATGTTACAGCTGTGCAACAACATTTAGTTTTGAGCTTTATAGGTCAGTTGTGCGTGCTTGATTAACTTTGCTGTATAAATATGGCCGGGTCCGTGGGTGACGACGGTATTACACTGTATTTTAATGAAATAAAAATGTCTTAATTTTAAACTTTTTTTTTCTGGTTGGTTTATTTTATCTTCCTTTTTTTTGAAGGTAATGTAAAAAGGCTTTTGTGAACGTGAATTTTGAATTATCTAGTGTCTTAATTAAAAGTAAAACATAAATAAATAAATGTCCAACAAAATAATGGCATGTTTAATAATCATTGATTAAACATGCCATTAAAAAAAATCCAGCACTATACTGAATACAGTCATTAGTGAACAAAGTTTAGTTATTAGGATGATTCCAACGGAAATTGAAAAATAATTCCTTCTTACAGCCGTTGATTGGCTCTGGCGTTAATACTCAGTGATTAAAATGAGACAAAAGGTCTAAATATAAATAATAAGTTCAAATGTTATAAAAATAAGTGAGAGATTCAGTAACACTTGAAATCATTATTTTTTTTTTCTCAACGGAAGCTAATGCTTTTATTGTGAAGGACAATCCTTTCAACCGGAACTACTACTTATTCTGTTACCCCGGTCAACTAAAAGCAACAAAACTAGTATTTTTTGTTGTATGTTTAGCTCTGTACCTGCCAGGAAAATGCAGATATGCAGTGTGTGCAGCGAACAGCCTCCAAAATACAGATGTCCAAGCTGCAAAATACGATAGTAAGTAAACGCGTCTACATGCTTGCGGGATAGCTTATCACGTGTTAGCTGTTTTTGTTAGCATAAGTAAAAACACTTAAACATAGTTTATTATAATCTGAGTTTATAAATGTTCGCATTTTTTTTGACACAACTTTATATTTTTCTGTTAAATGAAAATAGAGGCACGTGTCAGAATACTGTGGATAAAAACAAGGCTAAACCTAAGCAGTTTGTGACTTACAGCATGCAGATAATTAAACCTGTCAGTGTTAACATATTATGTCACCGTTGTTTCTGTTATTTTCCCCAATATTTAATGTATCATCGCTATAATACATTAAAAAAAGAACATAGAAACTTCAACACATGGTACAGGAGCCGGTTTGGGTCAAACTTACTACTATTGAACTAGAAAAATAAGTGTGAATGGGCCAGGTTTTTTTTTTTAATTCTTTTAATATTCGTTCACAATTATAAGTTCAAGAATAATTTGGAGTAAAATGTATCAGATATCTCATAATTAACTGTTTATTTTTTTCTCCCTCTCTTTCCCTTTGGACCAGGATACTGTGTCTTTATTAAAATTTTGATTGAATTTAATTGAATTGTTTCCTTTTTGTCTTGTAATCTTTTCAGTTGTTCGCTTGGCTGTTACAAGAAACACAAAGGTATGAAAGTCTAAATCCTGTACTTTTTTATTCAGTGCATTTACATCTGATATTGACAGTCATCTTATTTTCATAGATTCCTGCCTTCCTGTTGAGAAGCCCGCTACGTCAAATCCTGAATCTAAAGATGCTGCTGGATCTGGTAATAATTCCAAAGCGCTGATATTGTTCTCCAAAATGCCTATTAAGTATTTGTTTTGCTGTAAAAACTATTTTGGAAAATTGCTTTACACTTAATCATAACAAATGTGCTACATTTACGTTTTCATCCACTTCTACTTTCTTAAAATATTTCCAAAGAGATGAATTTTCTTCCTTGTGAGAGAGGAAAAGCTATGCCATTAAACACATCGATGTATCTTTTGAGGCACGGTTCTCAATGCCTACAAAGTGAAACAACTGAACATCCTTCCAGAATAACGATAACATGTTTTTTTGCACCAGATAATAGTAATGTCAAATTTATATACGTTTTATGTTTGTTCCTTTAAATTCTCAGCAGAGCCTTTAAGTTTGGACGATCTCCTGCATGAGGACGACGTCATCGACAAAGTGCCACCGCAGAGGCTCCAGTTGTTGGGTATTAATCCAGTTTTACGTTTCTCTGTCAACTTAAACGGATGGTAATGTGTCAGCGTTTTGATCGTGTTGCTTTCCTACAGGTCAGTCAACAGAGCTCAGAGATCTTCTCTGCAACCCCCACCTGAGGCAGTTGCTGCGCTCCGTTGACGACGCAGAGAGCAAAGCGTCCGCCATGAAGGCCGCCATGCAGGAACCTCTGTTTGTTGAGTTTGCAGATCGGTGTTTAAAAGTTGTTGAAGGTGAAGACAACGCATTATCTTCTAGTGACTGATTTATAAAAATTACACGTGCGGCTAGTTTTTGATATTTCTTCGGACAATAACAAACACGCTGTATAGCAACATTTACCTCTAATGACGCTGTATGTAAATAATGTTCAAATAAAGGCTCAAGTTTTCATAGATTATTGATTAAACACATATGCGCAAGTAATTTATTGACGTTTAATAGTTTTATATAAAATATTTTTTACAAATCAACATTGAACTGTGACTCTGTGCGATTCAAGTTTGCATACATGGATCCCTTTGTACCTGACAAAACCAGCTGTCTGGGCTAAATTATAAATGACATTTTCATGAATCTGCATCTGAATGAAACGAAAAGTAACATTTTTACATATTCTGAGTCAAAGCTGTTCATGAGTGCTTTATGCAGGCTAAAAACTGGAAAGTTCATTACAGACCAGCTACCTTTTCCAGACAGAAATCCATGAACAAAAACCTCTTTGGTATATTGCATCTTACATTTACAGGCAGTAAATCTAGTACATGAAAGACTTGGTTTCGAAGAGCAGCAACATTACCACAAATGGTAAATCAAGTTGATCCATTTCATGCATATAGTGAATCAGAAGAATATAGCTTTTCTGCATTTAGCCACAAAGTTCTATGTATTTCATAGAGATTTTCTAAGACAGACCAGCACTGTATGCTGCAAAATATTGAATTTGGTTGATAATATGCATGTAAAAGGTAAGGTAAAGATGTGAAAAAAGTAGTTTACACAGTACCGTTTCAGGGTGAATATAAATGTTTGCATTTATATTCAGAATGTCATTTTGTGTTGGTCTATTAATTAAAACAAATAGAAGTTTGTGGTTTTAATGTGACAAACTGCACTAAACTACACAGTAAATATGTAAGTCCCTGTTTTCTGAGCCAAAGCTGTCAATGTTATGCAATGGTAACATGCTGGAGGTTAAGTGTATAAACATATTGCACTTAACAGCTACACTGTCAGACGAATTAAGGTCTCACATGCACACAAACGTACGAAGTACAAAAAAAGACTTTGGTCCAAGTGAATTTCATGCGTGTCTCCTTATAAATCATCTGTTCATGTGCTTTAATTTGAAACGCAAATAAAAAAAAAATTCCAAGCGTTTTATTCCCAACATGACTGCTTATTCTTTTGGAATGTAATTTCATACATGAATCAATTGTAGCTTTTCCAAAAGGCACTCAGTAAGGCCTAATGGGCTCAGACATAATCTCATGCAGGCAGCAGCTTTGGTTCTATAAGGTGCTGAAATTGTGCCATCTTCAGTATATTTTAGGAACTGCAACCAGATTTCTTTCTGTGGTTTTGTCATGAAATGCCACAATTAAAATAATCATAGTTTACATATTTCAGATACGAATCACATATAAATATTGCTACAAAAACAATCTCAAACGTATAGAAGATTTTTGTGATTTGATGCTGCATTATCCTTCTGTACACGCAAACCCTTACAAATATGGGCATTTTGGCAAAAAACCCCCCCCAAAAAAACGTTTGATTTAGTGTTCAACAATAGATGCAGAGGAGCATAAAATAGTTTTCTTTTTGTGAGATTAACTAAACCGGTTCTAGTGAAGTTACTATAAAGTCTTCTCCAGCAGGATCTCGTTGAATCCCGTCACGTCGCTCTTCAGGTCTGGCTGCATGTCGGCGTACAGAAGGGGCGAGCGCTGATAATGCAGCTTCACAGATCCCTGTCAGGAGAAGCAAAACAACAACAAAACAAAAAATTAAAGAATCACGCTGAAATCCATTTGTAAAGAAAGAACCGTGTCCTCACCCTGGGCCGAGCCCGAATGGAGGCAAGCCCCTGCTTGTACTGGTTGGTCTCCACCTTGTACTCTCCTCTCCTGGACGGCAGGTTGAGGGAGGTCATCACGGAAATCATCTTCTGGAAGCCCGTGGCCGTCAGGGAGACGGTGATGGAGGGCGCCGAGGCCAGAGCCAGGCCCATGGGCCAGCCGCGCACCGGGACGGGCTCCTGGCAGCTCGAGAGCTGCACGGAGCCCCGCTCCCTGACCACAGCGCTCAGCGCCGGGCTGTCGTCCGCCGCGAGGTCCTCCGCGTCGTCGAGCTCCGCTTCAGCCAAGGACTTCAACAACGCCTGCCCGAGTATTTACACCGTAAAGTTACATCCCGTGTCCAAGGAATAAAAAAATTAAAAAGATAGAAGAAGCATGAATGGTGGCGCTCGGTCTCACCCTCCATTTCTTCCAGGTGTTTTGGATCACTGAGGCCGCTCTGTTCCACCTCCGGATCCGCTTCCGGACCAGCCAGGACCTCACAGCTGCACACAGTCAAAAAGACAAGAATGAAATCACAATATTACGAGAATAAAGTTGAAATAATATGAGAATACAGATTTAGTTTTATGAGAATTAATTTTTTTTCTGGTAATATTACAACATTATTCTCATAATATTATGACTTTTTTTGGATTAATTGATTAGTAATTAGGTAGCAAAATTTGCTTAATAGGATTTTATTTATTTTTTTTACAGACTTTGAACCAGATGAACTATGCTTCTTCTGGGATTCTGGGTAAAACTTATTTTAACTGCTTCTTAAATGTAAATGTATTTTTTGGACAGTTTTGGCTCAATTACTGTTCTGACTTTGCTATTCTCTCAGCAAATGGACTCCAGTTAACAAGTAATCAATTACTAAGTTGGTGACAATTATTTCAATAATCGATTAATCCAATTAATTGTTTCAGCCCTAGTTGAGATTCCTGAAATCATAGAAATGTGATTATATAATAATGACAAATTATTATATAATAATAAAGATAAATATAAATATAATAATGATAAACATATTTATCTCATACTTGCACTGAAAGAACATCAGAGAGTCAGACTGCATGTGGCCTGTCCTGGCTCTAAGAGGACAACCTGTCTGGACTTCCGTGCGCTGACACCGTGTGCTCCCGACTCACTGGGTCAGAGTCAGCACTCACAGTGGAATCGAGGCCAGGCAGCTCTGACTAATTCCTGCCAGCTTCAACTGTCCAGGGCGGCAACCAGTTTACCTGCTTGGATTAACGTGGCAGACTGCCGGCGGGCGAGGCGTCGGCGCCGCTGGTGTCGCAGCCAGCAGCACTGAATGGTGAAGGCGCACCGAGACAGGACCTTCCCTCTGCGATCCTCCAGCAGATCGAGCTGAGAAGAGTTTGGCACATTCTGCATTTCTTTTTTTTTTTTCATTTAACCACGACAATTTTAGATATTGTGCAGTATTTCTAATATTACAGTAGAAGTACAGTTTATGCATATGTTGTTGTCTCTGTGGTTTCTCAGTTCTCTTTTTGCAGGTGTAGAAACAAACTTCCCGGGTGTTTTCTTGTATTTTTTTTTTGTATCCTTCTTCCTGTCTTCTGGTCCTACCTCCCTCTTCACTGACCCATCTCACTTCCATTTTTCTCTTTCTGTTTCCTCTTTGTGTCCGTTGGCATTTGCAATAAGCCCAAAGTCATTTCTAATAAGGTTATATATCTGGCCTTTATGAAAGAGCAACAAGAAGAAAGAAGGGAAGTGGTAAGAAGTTGTTGTAGGGCATTGAGCAAAAAAGAAAAAGATTTCATTTACGAGTCGCAGCATAAATGCACTTCAGGCTTTTCTTCGTAAAAAGATTAGAAAACCACGTATTATGCGCAACTTTTCGTTGGTCTGTTGCATAAAATCCCAATAAAATAGATAAAATAAATACTTTTGCACACCACTGTGGTTACTGACCATTGGCTGGGTGAGGAAGACCTTAGTCTTCCCACAGTGCACCAACGACCTGCGCTCGTCACGCGACGCATTATGCTGGAGCGCCACCCGGAGGAGCTTCTCCACCTGCTGCTGAAGAACGTTGGCGCCTTCGGCGCCGGGATCTGCAACACAGGAATGAGGACGAGTAAGAACTAAATCAGCCCAACAACCCAACAGAATCTGTGTCAGTGTGAGGAAAGAAACATTAAAGTGCTTCAAAGAGCTGTGGCTTCATTAGAGGCGATTTAGGGCTGCAATTAACGGTTTTGGTAATTGATTATTCCATCAATTAGTTTGATGTTTAGTCAAAAAAAATAAATAAAAAATTGGCACATTCTTCAGATTTTTCATTTAGCCACTTAATCTTATTAGAAATACCTTTTTATTTAATTTAATATCAAAGTAGAATATACGCTGTGTTCAGCATTACATTAATGAAAGACAAAAAAAAAATCATATTTTAAAAAAACAAATTTTTTCATTGCTTTTTTAAATAAATAAAAAATTTACTTCCTAAAGTGCAACAACGCAGCACTCCTCGTTGAACGCTCGATTATTTAGAACAAATTTATAGCAAAAATATAAACAAATATAATCTCCAGTTAACGATTAATCGATTACTAAATTAGTTGACGATTATTTCAATAATCGATTTGTCACGATTAATCAGATTAATCATTTCAGCCCTAAAGGTGAGTGAGTAATGTCAACAAACGAAATATCCAAAATAAAATACAAACAAAAACAATAAAACGTTTGTGGCTAATAAAACAATATTAATCAGCAGAATGGAAATTATTGACCTTGTTTCAATTTATCATGCGATTCATTGACTCGTTGCTTATTGCGACAGACTTAGATGTGAAACACAGAAATAAGCTGAGCATTAGAGGAAAACAAATGCTTTGAAGTGATTAACACTTTACAACCCAAACGCAAAGACAGAGTGGTGAGGCGAGCAGAGATGGCGTTTACCTGTAAAGTTCAGAAGATGCTAAAAAGTCTTTCAAACTGAAAAGTCCCAAAGAAAAGTAGAGAAGTGATTTTACTGAGAAGGCAAATGAAAGGCAAGGAGAATAAACCTGCAGATCCAGGTAGAGGAAATGAAATCATCAGACCTCCCCGATCGACTAGAACCGATTCAATAACGATATAAACTCACCAGCATCCAGGCGACTTGATGCCGAACATCTCCCGATCGGTCCATAACGCTGGACGAAGCTTTTCAACGGGATTCTGTGCAACAAAAATTAAATTAGATTCCCCTAAAGCTTAGAAAAAATACCCCACTATTAGAGTGTGAGGAGGAAAGCTGCACCTTATTGGAAAGCCTGCAGCGCTGATGTGAATGGTCTCCACGATCCCGCAGGCCTCCAGCTGCAAAATAACCTGGCGGAGAAGCATCAGACATGTCGCTTCGGTGAACGTGGGCGGCGATGAGACGACGCAGACATTGAGCCGATCTTTATTACCTCTCTGTTCTTAAAGGTGAGCGGCCGGCAGTCGGAGTTGGGTTTGATGCAGCGGGTGTAGTGAGGAGCCGTGGTGAGGAGGAGCTTCATCAGGTTCTCCAGCGAGTTCTACGTGCAAACCACATCATTTTAGCATTTTCTCATCTCTAATATACATTGTTTTTATACCAGATTAAGTTTTAATAATTTTTTTCTCACTTTTTTTTTTTTTACTGAATTAGCTGATGATTATTTCCTGCAATCACAATTAATCTGACTAATTGTTTCAGCCCCGAATGCTACCAGAGTACCATGCTGAGATGCAGTGTGCTAACACACACACACACACACACACACACACACACACACACACACACACACACACACACACACACACACACACACACACACCCAGGTTAAACTTTCCAGGAGAAACAACACAACCCACAGCAAGCATATTGGCGATAAATGCTTTCGTTGTTTCACCTTAAACTTGGAGATCACCGTGACTCTGCTGAGCCCTTTGCTATTAGGAATCTCAGTTTCCTTGTCAGAGAAGATCTCATGAAGAAGGAGATTGTCAGATTTCTGAAGCAGGCCAATGAGCTCTGGTGGCACCGGGTCCTGAGAGAGAAAACCTTTGTGAACGCGACCAGTCGGAGGTTTGGTCTCTCTCTGTCTGAACAAGAGCTAAAAGACGGCCTCTTACCTTGTTTTTCTCCACCATGCCTTCTAACTGGTAGCTGACTTTGCCCGCGTAATGGGCCACGGTGAAGTGTGGCACCTTGCTGAACTTGTCCCAGCAGATGTTGTCGTTGCCGCCCAGCTCCTTCTCCAGGCGACCCCTCAGCGCTGTCGAGTCCGAGGCTCGGTTCAGACGACTCTCCTTCAGGACGAGACAGAAATCAACAGGGCATTCGTCCTGACGTTCAGTCGGCTGCAGCGCTGCTTTCAAGAATGTGGATGTGAAAACTCGAGATGCACTGATCAGGCTTTTCCTGGTCAAAACCAATTTGTTTGCAAAACTTGGAGGTTTTGATTTTTTTCAAAGGTCTACATCATATAAGAGAGAATATATGTGTGTTGTAGGTTCTTTAATCAAGATACTTTCAACAAAAATGAAAGAAAGTATCATTTACTAATCAAAACAAAAGTCCTTAACGCTTTATATGACTTTTATTCAGAGGATTGAACTGCATGCTCCTAGTTGACGCATTTACAGCCTCAAAATTCAGATTCTCCAGGAAGATGCGATGTTGTGATCACAACTATTCATTCATTTTGCGCGGATTTGCCATTTTCAAAAGTAATGGCAACTTCTCCGTAAATCCGACTAATCACCTGAATGTTTTCTGTATTTCCTTCTTTTCTGATCAGTCAGAAACTCAGCTGAATTTTGACCAACCTCTTTAGTCCTCTTCTAATTTAACCTCCTGTTTCACGGCCAAACAAGCAAGATGAACGCATGTTTTTGTTTTGTTTGTTTGGTTTTGTTTTTTTGCAAAAACCATTTTGCGATGTTCCGGATGATTTGCTTCTATTCCTCATACAGTTCATGTTAACTTGAATAACCAGGAAAGGGCATGACTTTATTTATATTGTATTATTTCCTGAAAGTACTTAAAAATGTTATTTGCACTATAAATATTAACAGTGTTAAAATCTTTTTCGGGAAGGTTGTGAGCAGCAATGTCAACTTTTTTTTGTAAAATCATGCAATTGCAAAGATCAAGCTTAAAAATTAAGCTGTACCGGTTAAAAATTAACCAATCTCCTGCAACGTTATTTTGTGAAACAATCACACAAAAAAAAAAAAAACATGGCAACATTCTGGAGGAACTGAATGATGGAGGCAATACTCCGTTTAGACGGAATTAATGAACTGGGAAGAACATCCTAATTTTTCAAGATTTTATCTAGTGATTAAATGAGTTGGACATTTCTGATATCTGATCAATTGACTGGCGCATCTCTCATTACAAACAATGAAAATCTCTGTAGAGTAAAAATAATAACAAATTTACCTCATTAAGAAGAGAAAACACACTGATGGGGCTTCCCTCTAAAAGGTCGAGACAACTCTGGTTGTCTTGGTATTTAACGAAGGACCACTCCAAGCCTTCTGACACGTACTCTTCCTGAGGAAAGGCAACAAATAGCACTTGCGTTTAAATACCAAAACGTACGTCCAAATGCATCCCTGCTGACATGTGGTAAAAAAAAAAAAGAAAAACTGAACGTCTCTACCTGCTGAGCTCGGAGGTAATGGGCCACAAAGTGCTGCTGCAGTTTCTCATTGGCGTAGTTGATGCACAGCTGCTCCAAGTTGTTGATCTGAAAACACTCGAAGCCGTACACGTCCAGCACGCCTGCGGATTACAGACGACTGTCAGAGCTGGTGTGGAGGAGCTGGGGGTCATTCCCACTCCGACGGAGGGAATAAAGCTTTACCTATGAAGTTGCGCCATTTGGACTGGCCGGCGCATATGCAGCTGTTGATGAACGTCACTAACCACTCAAATAATCTGGTGGGGAAAAGGAAAACGTTGAACATAGCATTAGATATGTTAAAATGGGGGTGAGAATTTAGCCACACCACTTCTACTATTTTACGTTTCGTCAACTTACAACCACTAAGTTTAGAGTGTTTTACTGGGACTTTATGTGGTACAATACTTACTTTTTAAGTGGAACATTTCTTTTTCGCACAATAATTTAAAAAGTGTGATAGTATGTACTCGTGTTCAGAATTTAACACCTTGAAATTGGGCCTCTGTCTCTTTAAGAAACTCCTGCTCTTTCTGAAACTCCGCCTTCAGGAAGTGACATGGCTCCTCTATTAACCCTTTAACAACAACTTTACCAGCGTTGCACTGAAGAAGTAGCTTCTACAATTAGACCAGCAGATGCACTGTTCCACAAGGTGTTTGCTAATTGCTGCTGGCTAGTCTGAAGGAGCTGAGTGAAGGGAATCGCGAGAAAGGGAAGAAGTTAGGTCACCTGAAAACTGCAACTGCGCCTTGAAGGCGGTGCTAGATCTACACAGGCGTTTTGTACAGCTGAATGGTTGCCACAGGAGATAAAAGGATTTCTCAACCAATCAAGCAACACTCCAGGTATGTTTTTGATGAGGGAATAACATCATAACATGACGTAAAGCTCAAAAAAGTTAATTCTTCATAATACTGCCTCTTTAAATTTCTCCTCACAGACTCTCAGCATCCAGTCTGACATCATCCACTTCACAGTTACGTCCTACTTTATGCTACCCTAAAATGCTAAGGTGACTAATTTCAATGAATACTTTGCTGAGTTACTTATTGATCAACTTGCAGCTCTTACTGGCCGTAGACGACCTTGGCCAGGCAGTCCCGCCTCACTCCGCACTCTGCTCGGGAACAGGGCTTCAGAACGTTTTGCTTCCCCGCCTTCAGCGTCCTCACTCTCAGACATCTACAGAGCTCCTCCGCCGGGACGCCCAGCAGCTCGCCGGCTCTCTGCAAGAAGTCTAGAAAGACATGCTTCATGATGATCAACCACTAGCTAATTTTAGCTTTCCAAATTTGTAGCTTTCTTTTGAGCATTTGTACGATTCAACCTGTGGAATCAAAGCTACCTTCAGAGTGTTGGTCAAGGTCGCAGGGTTGGGATTCACTTGTTGAAGAGCAGAAACTCACATTCCCCAAGTGCAGAATCCCCGCTAAAATCTGTGATGAAAAAACATTATTCAATTTTACTGATACGTGTGAACCTACAGATTCAGATTTTTTCAGTCTGAAAAGTTGCTACATACAGTATCAAAGTCTCTACGTTAGTGGGATGGCTATCAGCTACATGAACCTGGTGAGTGGTCCATGAACCAGCGGTGGTCAAACTTTTTGATACATTGGCCAAAATTTTCAAATCAAGCATCCTGAGGGCCAAAAATTTTTTATATTCTTAGTAAAAACGTTTAATCGTGTGAATAGTTTAATTAAACAAAAGAAGTAGCCAGATTTGTTTTTTAATGAAAGGTGATGTGTAAACAACTGAGTCAAAACTTCAGAAGAGTTTAGTAGATTTGCCTTATTAAAATAAATATTTATCAAGGGTTTTATTGGAGATATAGTAAAAATGTAGTCAGTTAAAAAAAAAGCTGGATTTAGGTCACTGTCTTTGGAACTGGATAGATTTTGTCCCTGCACAAGAATGCAAAAAGTACGGCTATTTAAAGATGAATACTTTGTTTTTTTTTAAAATAAGATCTTAAATTATCTGCAATCTTTCTGCCACAATTAAAAATAAAAAAAAGTTTCCATCTGCATCAACCACCTATGCTGGGGGCTAATTTTGTGTCATTATTAAATTGCAGTCGCGTCCGTGCAAAATCAGTCAAGAGTCACTCTTTGGACACCCGTGCATTAGACCAAAAGGAGAACAGTGGCTGATTTTCAAACCTTTGAGGAGTTAGACAGAACCAGTGGATAACATCAGTTTCACATCTACACATCAGTCAATCACTGATCTCCCAAAGTTAAGGAAATTGGACTGATTTATTGGTGCATTGGTGCAGCTAAAGTAGCTCCTATAAAGACAAGCTACTTGACACTGAATCTTATTCAAATGATTAATTAAAGAGATTGCGTTACTCTTACCCTAAATATCTGTCTTTGCCTTTCAGCATCAATTCCGAGGTGAGCCATCGCCTCAGTGGTTTCAAGAAAACCGTCCTCTGTAAACAAAAAAGAAAAAATAAATAAGTTATTTGTACAGACGTTATTAGGAGGCTTCAATAGATGTGAAAATAAACACCAACCCTCAATTTGTTTCTCACAATTCGGCAGCCACACAAAACCCTGATCCTGTGGCATCATCCAGTCTGTTCTCTGCTCATCTGTGGCTCCTTTCATCATCTAGAAAAACAGCACACAGCTCTGTAAAAACACCACTATAGGCAAAAAATTTTTTATAAATAAACCACACGGGCATCAGGCGTCAGGAGCTCACCTGGTAGAAGATGTGGAAGTTCCTCTCATTGGCCGGCTGACAGGCCACCCTGGTCTTCTCCAACAAGTACGTCTGCACCGAAGCGCCGACCAGCAGCTGAGCCCTGGAAGTGAGTTGAGTCGGACAGGGTGAGCTAAACCCGCTGACAGGATGTGAGGTCATGAAAAGTGGGAGGTGCCAACTGGTACCTGTCCAGCTGCAGCTGGATGTACTTTCCAAAGCGGCTGCTGTTGTTGTTGCGCAGCGTGCAAGCGTTGCCTGGAGACAGAGGCCGCTGATGAACGACTCGTCGTCACACCAGTAAATCTCACTTTAGAGAATTATTGTGAAATTTGTAACAGGGTTTTTAATTTATTTTATTATATTCTGAAAAGTGTGCTGTGCATTTATGCTCAACATCTCAATAAAATACATTAAAGTTTGTGGTGGGAGCGTGACAGCATTTTAAAAAAAATTAGAGCTATGAAAGAGCAACGTATGAATAGTTTTGTAAGGGGAGTGTAGATATATATATATAGTTTATTGTCGTACCAAAAGCTTCCATCAGAGGATTGGAGTCCAGCACTCTCCTCTCGATCCTCTCCGCCGCGTCCTGACTGCTGACGGCCTGGGCGGAGGCTGCCACAGTGGCGTAGTATTTCATCAGGCAGCGAGACGTCCATGTCTAGAACAAAGGGAATCATTGACAGACCCACAGCGACTCAAAAAAATATTTTAAAAAATCTGAACAACAGCAGGGGAACTCTGCAGACCTATAATAAAATCAAAAAGGAAAAAGCTAAGCTGATATTTTATACATCTGTTTGACACGATAGCATTAGCGTTATTTGCGAATTTACCTTCCCGGCTCCGCTCTCACCGCTAACAACCAGCGACTGGTTCACTGGCTCCAGCTGACCCTGAACGTTCCTGTAAGCCTCCTCCGCCACAATAAAGATATGAGGTTTGAACTCCTGGAATTAAAAAGAACCCGTCTTCTTATGAGCTGGGCTGGGAAAGTCCATATTTAAATAAGAGCCAACAGGTCAACGAAGGCACAAAGCTTCAGCAGTGATGACGTGAGTACCTGAGGCTGAGTGGCGTAGTGGTACTCCTTCATCACGTCCACAGAGTAAAGGTCTGGAATGGGCTGGAAAGGGTTGAGAGCCACCAAGGTGCAGCCGGCGTGGGTGTAAAACACCTTCAATCTGTACCTGGCCTGCAGGCATTTCAGCACTAGCAGAAAGCGCGACGCTTGTTAGGCGTTACACGGAAAGACGTGACGAGGACAAAGTTTTTGAATTCTGCTGGAGCGTCTGGACATTTTGCACTTGGTACCTGTTGCTGGAGTCACGGGGTTCACCTTGGTGAGGTCATCAAAAGTGTGCAGCTGGTCTTCGTCAATAAGAAAGGCCTGAACGTCCTCCTCCAAAGGATCATTTCGGCTTCGGTTAGGTGAGTGGACTCTCTGGGTGACTCCCTTCACCTGCCTGGAAAGATTAGGTGAGAAATTGCTAAAAGGACTGATGCAGTCGAAGCCAAATGAATGAGGACGATTGTGTTTTTTTTAAGGTTTTGTTGGCTCTAGTGGCCTTTATTTGAAAGTAGTTCGACAGGAAAGAGGGTAATGAGAGAGAGGGAANANATNCAGAAAATGTCACCAGGCCGGGAATTGAACCTGCGACCACCGGCACGAGGACCAAAGCCTCAATATGTGGGTTGTGCTTTGCCCCTGCGTCACCACAGCACCCCATGACAATTGTGGTTTTGTACATATTATGCTTGTTATTCCCACAACATGAGGGACATATTTAAAAAACAAACACCTCTCTGCAGAACTAAAACGATGACTCGTGACATCTTTGTGACTTTAAGGGTTATTCAGGGTTCCTTCAAATTTTCCATTTTAAAATCCAGGCATTTCAGAGCATGTTATTGTCTTTTTTTAATAAGTTATTTAATATACTAAAACATTCAATTAATTGGATTTTAATCATCTTTTTCTTGCAGAAATCTGTATAGAAAACATTGCTGTTGTTTGCTTTATGCTAAAAGAGAAGCTTTTTTTTACATCAGGATGAATCTAAAGTTATTATCTAAAATAACTAGAAATAAACTATTTTCAATATCAAAAATAGACTTAAAATACTCTACAGATCAAAAAAGCATTTGAGGTAATTTAACATCCACCTTTTATTTGATTTTTAAGTAAAAAAAAAACAAAACAAAAAAAACTGTACATGTGGATGCTGATGTGTTTATAGTCTAAACACGGTGGCATCGCTTAGTTTGGATGAATTTAATTTAATGAACAGGAAAATAAGACTTGCATTCTTCTGCATTTGAGCTGCTGATCCAAGCTGTGATTGATTGATTCATGAATCTCTAATGCAATGTGATTACTGCATTTGCACACTCTGTAACCTCAATTTTTTATAGAATTAAAAAAAATGCATTAGCAATCTGTGAACTTAATTTGCCCTGACTAATGGACGCCTGCCATATGACCTGAACCTGCTGCCCTTCCTATGAAGACTGCCACCTGTTCAAGGTGTTCAGAGACACTTAATCCTCTGGTAGGTAGCCTACATCCCATAATACCGCCAGTTTAGAGCCATGAAGTCATTTATTTAGGAAACAGAACAGCACAGGTTGTAATTATCAGCATACATAACATGGGATGTATACTAAGGTTTGAAATGTCTATTATAAAATAGTAGTAAGTGTGGACAATACAAAGAAAGTAACTTTATATTTGCTGTGACACACTGACAGCCAGAGGTAAAGCTAAAGCACAAAGCACTACATTTATACACATTTATATTATCAATCAGGCGCAGATTGGTCGCAGGTACACACGTCCTTCAATTAAATAAAAACAGATAAACTTTATGACTGTAATTCTGGCGTTCATACGCAAGAGAAGGTGCGGATTTCTGTTGTTTAGGTTAAACATAACATATTATAAGTTTATATACTCAGAAAAAGAAAGAAAAATATCTAAATAAACTCCCAGCGAAAAGCTTGTGTTCGGGTCCTAACTTACCGCTGCCCCTCCATTCCTGGGTCCCACAGCAATGTTCCGCCGGTCGGTGGAAGAACTCATTTATTTGATACGTTCTCTGTATCTGGCCTGAAAATAAAACCTCTGGGCCTTATTTCTGATTCAAATGAGTTGCTATTCTATGATAAATAAAACGTTACTTCGGTTATTCCTCTGCCGTCAGCAACAACTCAAGGACGACTTCTGCTGGTTGTCCCGCTGCCTTCCAGACCACACTCCCAATCCACACGTCATTCCCGCCCTCTTCCTGACCATTCAGGAACCGCTCGTTTGAAGCTAAATCAAAACTGAACGCTGTACAACTTCATAAATATATTATCCCTCTAACTGAATACGGGTTCAGTTTGCAGCTGTATTTTAAATTTAGCATCCAACGAAGGCCTTTTAAACTTCCACAGCGTGACATATATTTTTTATTTTTCATATATCAAAGTCTTCCACGGGATTTACTATGTACAAGTAGGTTTGCTTTTAGTATTATTATACATTTCTGGCTATTTTATTAGTTTATATGGCAGAGAAATTAGTTTAACTTTCATTTACTAAAGTAAAAATCTAACACCTCAATAAGTACCAGAAAACCCAGTGCTCTTGAATGCATCACGGGTTGCGAATACGGAAGTGAGCAAACGTTCTATCACTGAACAGGTTCTGCACAGCCAGCAAAAATAATAATGCTGTTTAACAGGTATTTATTCATCCTCCGTCTTTAACAGAAGAAGTCGTGGTAAGTGCTGGTCAATGGACACCTTGCTGTTTCTGACGTTTCCAAAAAACATTAAACTAATAATTTTGTTGACTGTTGTCGCTTGCATGTAGGACGCTGCTTTAGGGAGCAGGGCATTATTTGCGCCTGTTTTAAACGTGAAAACTTACGCATTGACTGCTCTTTGCGTATGTTTCTTGGCGAATAAGCTAAGGTTTGTGTACAGAGAAGTCTAAATCAGCAAATTGGGATATGAACAGATGATCTTAGCAGGCGACACTGTGTGGTTTCATGTACTGCAAAGACTTCTATAATATTTCAGGATCCCTTTCTGACTGTATCTAAGGTTTTTCTGAGGGCTGTATAGTGAAAGTTGTAGATGTAGATCATGAAAGGAAAGTTCCTTGACCGTTTCAATAAAATCATGATGTTTTTTGGATACACTGCCCCTTGCGTCCTGTAATAAACTGCGTGTGTTTAAATGTTTGCAGATTATGGCTCAAAAGGAAGTAAAGGAGGCGTTTGTGAGTAACCTCAATGGGACCAGTTTGGGAGAGGTGACTTTTGGATCGTTTCTCGCTCCAGTCTGTCTCATCCACAGAGCGTTCATCTTAGTCCTCTACTACCAAGCCAAAGGGACTCTACCGCTACCACTTCCACTGATTTCCCATCTACTCCTTGATTTTTCTCTGCTCGTCCTTCCCCTCGTATTATCATGCACAATTCTCAGCGATGTTCTTCTGCAGGTCATCGTGTGCCTAACTTTTCTTTCAGCTTGCGTGCTCTGCTACATCTGTCGTACCAGCTTCCAATCCTCTGCTCTGCAGCCACAGAAGATCGTCAGCAACTTCCTTCAGTGCAGCGTTCAGTTCCACCAGGTCCCCTTCGTGACTCTCTTCAGAGTATTTGTAAACGTGAAAACAGCCATCAGCATCCTCGCCGTCGACTTCAGCGTCTTTCCGAGGCGATATGCGAAGACGGAGACCTACGGGACAGGGGTTATGGACTTTGGAGTCGGGGCATTTGTTTTTGCAAACGCACTTGTCAGTCCTGAGGCACGGAGGAGGGAAGTCACGGGATCCAAGATGAGCCATATTACGAAGCAGATCCAGTCTGTCTGGCCTCTGCTTGCTCTAGGCTTGGGGCGGCTGGTGAGCATCAAAATGACCGGCTATCACGAGCACGTGACGGAATATGGCATCCACTGGAACTTCTTCTTCACGCTGGCCATCGTCAGAGTTCTAGCTTCTGTGCTTTTGGTTGTTTTACCAGCTGGACAGTCGTGGCTCTTTGCCCTTCTGATCAGTGGATGTCATCAGTTCGCCCTGGAAACAACCGAACTAAAGACCTTCCTGATGCACAATAGGGACAGAGGAAAGGATTTCGTGCACGCTAACAAGGAGGGCATATTCTCCATAGCCGGCTATGTTGCCATCTATCTAGCAGGAGTTCAGATTGGACTCTACGTGATGCAGCAAAGACATCAAGTCAAAGATTGCCTCAAGATGCTTTTCACCCTCTCCCTAGGAAGTTTGCTGTCGTACGCCGCTTTGTTCGCATGTCAGACACTCATGGAGCCGGTCTCTCGCCGCTCGGCTAATTTGCCCTTCGTCATCTGGAGCGTTGCTCAGTCGTTGTTTTTCATGTCCCTCCTAGGTCTGGCCGACATGGTCATACTGTTCTCCAAAGGAGCATCCGCCTGTCGTTTTCTGCCGTCGTCCATGAGCTTTCTGGAGAAGAAGACGGATTCTCCGGTTTCCAGAAGCGGAGTCAAAGTGGAGAGACTCTGCCTCATCCAGGCCGTCAGCAGGAATCAGCTGGTGTTTTTCCTGCTCTCCAACGTCATGACCGGAGCGACCAATGCTGTCGTGGACACCCTCAGTTGTAGCAGCTCTTTTTCAGTGTGTGTTTTACTGTCATACATGCTTGTGAACTGCCTTGTTATATATGTTTTGCACATCTGTGAAATTACAGTAAAATTCTGGTGACGTTTGTAAGCGCACCGTTTTCCTTGGGTTTGTTTTTTCATAGTTTATTTGAAGCTCGAGTTACTTGCACTGAAATTCAGAACAATGGAAAACACTGAAGATGGAAGAAAATGTTATCTGTATGGAGTTAGTTTTGTGTTGGTGCTTGTTTATGGTGATATTGTCCTAAATGTTTTGTGTTTGTATATTTGGGGGACTTGCAAAAATAAAGCCTCATGAGAAAAAAAACTCTGTTATTCTTTTGTGGACAAACCGAAATGAACCTGAGATGTAACAATAACTGAAGCTTGGGATATTTTTATACCTAACCCAACTTTAAACATCTCCTAAACTGACTGGCATGTCTGGTATGTTCACTGGTCTCCGTGAAGCTGTTTGTTTACTAATATTTTAACAAATGTCTATATTGAAAATAAATGCAGTCTATTTGCTAATTAGCTGGCTTCTGAAGGCGATGGTGACACTTTATTTAGGGGTATCAAAATAAAGAGTGGTAAACACTTGTCATGTTTTCTTTCTATAAATTTTTTGAAACTATTATTTTCCTTCCATTTTGACATTTTCCACTACTCTGCACCATAAAAAGGTATTAAAAGGCCCTGAAAACTTAAATTTAAACTTTTGGTAGTAATGTGACAAAATGTAGAAAATGTCCAGTGATTATGAAGAACTATAAAATATCTTAGGTTAAAATTGTGTTTTTCCATAGATTTATAATTTGTATTTTATTGGCCATTTTTTTATCTTCTTACTTTGTTAATCGTCTGGTTTATGTTATTCATCCGGGTATTATGCTCACAGATTTGTAATTGATAAATACAATTAAATACTGCACTTAGTATATCATATTTTTATTGCCAAAAACAGTAGAGGGCTATAAATCACAATGTCAAAATACCTCTTGCAATAAAATTCGGCAATAAATTAAATCGAAATAATTATTTCACCAACGGGCAGTTTTTCTGCTCACCTGCGCCCCCTGGAGGCAGTGCGTACCACATTATCCGTATTACGTACCAGTGTATGGGAAGGAGGGGGGCCAAAGGTGAAATCAGTAATGAAGATTCCGCCACCGCAGCAGGCTCACTAACTGTCGCACTTGTTTATTTTCAAGAGTAATTCCAGACGGCGGTAAGTAGAAACTGTTCAAAAGTTCAACTATGCGTATCTGTTCTTTACGAAGACACTATTCTGTTGTTAGTATTGTCGGCATATTTTTAAAGAAACTCACGGCTGTGGCTAAGTAGCTACTCATAGTTCCAACTTTCTATTAGCTTAGATTAGCTCGCTGACGCTAGCTGTGGGGAGCAGCGATGTTAACAAGCAGGTTAGCCAGGTTTGCTATCACCGACAGGGCGAAGTCGAGCTGGAATAATACTCCAACCTACCTTTGATGGCGGAAGGGACACCATTTGATAAACAACAGTGAGCCCAAATTCAACCGAACGGCATATTTGATTTCGGAAGTTGTATTGTGAAGTGCAGTTAGCTAGCAGGCTAACTTGGAAATCAGTAGGTAATTGTTTAAAAGGCAACAGATACAGGTTAACGTTCTAAACGCGGCTTTGTAAGCTGTACAATGCTAGAAATACATTTTGTAAAGCTAATAACTTAGAAATTTCCCAGAGCTTTCTTTTGCCAGGTTGCTTGCTAGCTTAGCAGGGCAAATCTGGGTCAAGATAACCATGCTAGCTACTTTAGGAGTGCCTATGACAGTAGTTTGTAACGTTAGATGATTTTGTTTATATTTTAATGCATACTCTTGTGATTAAGAACCCCAAAGACAAATTCTTAGTTCCAAGATTATATCAGCCCCCAATGATCTGGAGTAGGTAGGGTAGCATTAGCCTGGTGGAGCTTGTGCTCAGGGTTTGATGTAGTCATTCCCTGCACATCATTCTGTCTTTTGTGCGTGTGTGTGTGTGACCTGCAGGTGAGCTGATCTACAGCACAGAGAAGACATGGCACGCCTGGTAGCAGTTTGCAGGGAAGGCGAGGAGGATTACCCATTTTTGGCGAGACAGATTCCCCTGTATATTGATGACACACTCACGGTAGGTCCTCATCATCACAGAGAGCACATCAAATAGCAATTAGGAAGATAGACCCTTATGAATCACCCTGTAAAGTACAAGCAGAAATGGCGCAGAATCAGCATTGGGTTTTTTTCTGCCCAACACAATTCTGATAATTTTTCCTGACTTTCTGAAACAAATGTGTACGGTTTCAGTTTTATGGTTTCTTTTTTCCATTTTCACGTCATGTTGAGGCATGTTCAGACTGTGCTTGAAAGGACGTTGACGTCGGAAAGCCAAGATCGGATTGTGTTCTTTGCAAAGACACAGCCGTACCCTGAGTACGAACAGTCTGAAACTAAATTGCTGATCTGAATACCAAACTAATTGCTTGTGCCTCTGTCAGTATGGGTGAAATGTGACCGTGGCGTTTTAGATGCGTCGTTATTACCTGTTGTGTTTTAATGGTTGTCAGATGGTGATGGAGTTTCCTGACAGTTTCATGGACGCTGAAGGCACTGACGTAACCCTTGCTCATTGGAAGCAATTTTCTGAGGTAATTTCACACACTGTGTCACAGAATTTCTTCTAATCTAGCAGACATGCACACACAAAAATCAAAGCCTAAAGGATGTCATTTGTGTGTATTTAGTAAAGATGCACTCAACCGCTGCTAATATTTGTATCTGTCCCGATTATTAAAAATTCTAGATCTGGTATCGGTGACAATGGGCAGATCTTTTAAGTCTAATTCTGTGCTTTGAGTGACGTCATGTTTTATTACTTATTTTATATTATAATTTCTAATTGCTCCATCTAAGCCACTTGAAAGAAGATTTGTTTTAGTTTATTTTTACATGTTTGATCAAGGTAGTCAACCTTTTGTTTTTGTCAGTTTCAGTTTCTTTATTATTTATTGTACATCGGCTGTTATCCTGCTAATTGCACTGACTGAACAAATTAAAGTTGTGTTGTTTTTTTCCATGTTTGACCAAGCTTGTGAAACTATTGTTGCATGTAAGGCTGCATACAACACTTGTATACAATTATCAATTTGCAATTTAGTACATTTATGTCTATGTTTAAAAAGAAAAAGGAAACATAAGTTAATTCAGCGCCGGGTTTTTTTGTATCGAATCGGCCGACAACAGACCTCAGATATCAGTATCTGTATTGGAAGTGAGGAGAAATGAATCTGTGCGTCCCTAGGATTTAGTGTGGAGGACACATAGATGACGGCATCATTTTATTTTTTCCCATAGTATTATTCCAAGCTGAAGCAGCAGGACCTGAATATCGCCTTTATGGTGTCGTCCAGAGAGGTGTACAGTGCGCTGTCCCAGCTGGTGCCGTGCGTGGGCTGCAGACGAAGCGTGGAGCGCCTCTTTTCTCACTCAGTGGAGACGGGGAACCCAGCGCTGGAGCCCCTCGCAGTGAAACCCAAGGGCATGCTCACTGTCACCAAGGCTTGTTTGGCAGACATGAAGAAGCTTTATACCCTGTTCTACATCCACGGGTGAGAGGAAAAAACTTTTCTCTTTATTCTTACATTGTTAGTAGTACAGCAGAAAACTTAATGTTCACGGTTCTCCCCTTTCTAGTTTGTCTCCATTATTTTTATTGCAATGGCATTGATTATTTTGTTAACTGTTAGAAGACATGTATATTTAGACTTAAAAAGCACAGGTCTGATATTACAGGGCCTTGCTTAAGTGTTTGGTTTTTGTTTTTGTTTTTTTAAGAACTATAGAATTGCCTTTTGCTGCAGTTACAGCTGCAGCGCCAAGTGTTTAAAGGAACAGTGCCTATAAAACTTATTCACCCCCTTGGATGTTTTACCCTTTTATTGCTTTTATAAGTCAATCCTGAGCAGCAAAATGTGGCTTTTTGTGCTAAATTTTGAAATGTAAATGTTTTGTAAAAATCCTTGAATGCTATAGTGAAAGCTAACTTCTACAAAACAACAAATAAAAATGTTTAGCATAACATAAGTCATTGCATAAATATTCGCCCCATTGAAGTCCGTATTTAGTAAATGGGCCTGTGGCTGCATAGAGTCTGTGTGGGTAAGTCTTAATCAGGCTTCACATCTGGTTGCTGCGGTTTTCCATTCTTCGTTGCAAAACTGTTCAAAGTTTGTCAAGTTACCTGTGAACCGGCTGTGAAAAGCTCTTTTCAGCTCCTACCACAAACTCTCTATCAGCCAGCGGTCTCGGCTTTGACTAGGCCACTCCAAAACCTTGTTGTCTTCAAACAATGTCTGTGTAGCTTGAGTTGGATGCTAAACATGTTTCTCAGTGGGGATGGTGTTTTTGTTGTGATGTGCAAAGTTTGGTACGTCCCAAACATGGCGTCTTTCGTGATGGCCAAAAAGCTCCATCTTGGTCTCATCAAACCAATTAACTTTCTTTGACTTGACCAAGGAGTCTCTTTGAGATGGTGGATTGCCACTCTTTCATTAAGCTTTGATTGGTGAATGCATTGAGCTAGTTTTCAAGGAAGGTGTAAGACTACAAGATGTCGGAAAGCTGGTAGAAACGCATCCCAACAGAGATGCGTTTGTCATTACAACATGAGGTGATTCTAGGGAAGTACTGAATACAAATGCTTACCACATATTTAAATAAAGAGAGCCATGTTTCCTTTCACTTCAGGTTCACAATTGTGTACCAATTTGTTTCAATTCGTAAACGGATTGAAAGAATGTGGAAAAACTTCAATTATTACAATAACGGTTGTATTTTATTTTTCCTTTTGCAGGTCAAAGTTAAATGACATGATTGACGCCATTCCAAAAAGTAAAAAGAATAAGCGCTGCCAGTTGCACTCCTTAGACACTCATAAACCTAAACCCCTGGGGTAAGTAACGTTCTTATTGTCACATTTTTGGTTTTAGAAGTTTTACTCGCTTCTGTTTTTATGAAGAATGCGGTGAATATGTCTAGCAATTTACAAAAATGTTGTTTTTCTTAATATTTTGAATAGTTAACTCAGTGAAAAACAAACAGCTAAGATATTTGGTTTGGATACTGAGGGTGTACTTTACTTTGTAGCTGTCAGAGCTGTGCATTGCATGTTATAACACTGCTATAAATGCTCCAGGGGAAGTTGGATGGACGTGTGGGAGCTGATGTCTCAAGAATGCAGGGATGAGGTGGTCCTCATCGACAGTGCCTGTCTGCTTGAGACGCTGGAGACGTACTTGCGGAAACACAGGTACTCCGTCGTAACCAGACCGTTTACTCACCAAACACTTACTCACCCGCGCTAAAACGGCGGTTTTGTGATTGAAGAGAAACCGACTGGCTTTTGACTTCCAACAGGTTTTGCACAGACTGTAAGAATAAAGTGATCAGAGCATACAACATCCTGGTTGGAGAGGTGGACTCCAGCGAGGAGAAGGGATACTGCGCCGCTCTGTACGAGGGTCTCTGTTGTTGCCCCCATGAGCGGCACATCCACGTGTGCTGCGAAACAGACTTCATCGCTCACTTACTCGGCAGGGCAGAGCCTGAGTTTTCAGGAGGTTACGAGTAAGTTGGATTTATTCTCGCGTTTATCGTTTGGCGAATGCATTACGATTGGGGATGCAAGTTTTCGATTTATGAGTCATTCTAGAGTTGAGTGATCTTATTGATCGACAAATGATTAATTGATAGGTGGCCATTTTTTGTAAAAACTTGAGTTTCTCTTGTATCAAGAGGGCCTTTCCCTAAAATAGACGACATTTCTCGTAATATTCTGAATTTAAAACATTTTAAAAATTCATACAATTTTCCATTATTTTGTGCCAGTTGCATTAAATACTGGCTGAAAAAACTGAAAATTGTGGTTCTCACACATTATCAACCTTAAACGTATAAAATATAACAAAACAGGGACCTCTTAGGTTACTAGATAGAAAAATAAAAGATGAAAAGAATAAAATGTGTGAAACACTTAATTTTCTATGAGCGGAGAGATGTTCCCACAGAAGCACCGTCTGCAGTTGTTCTTCAAGGAACGTTATGAAGTCCGTTAACTCGCGTCTTAAAAATCAACCTTTCTTATTGGCATCTTGTTTTTTTTTATATCGTGTTACAATTTTTCTGCGTTTTGCTCTCCGCTTCTGTCTTCAAATCTGTAGCACAGCAAGAACTTTTGTTTGAGATTTAGTTTGGACCGCTTCTCCTTTCTCATTCCGGTATGGCTCTGCCATTTTTGATTCTGTATCAACTGGCTCCACTTGAGGATGAACAGGGTCGCCCTCTGCTGGCTGGCAGCCAAACTAAAACAGTGTTAGTTAATCAATTGGAACCAATTTTAGTCTGATACAGCATTAATTGGAAATTGCTCGATTATTTGTTTACACCCCTAATTATGAGTAAATAAAAGGTGTGTTATACTTTAATACTGTCAGGATTTTCAGGAAATTAGCTAATATATATTGTTTTGGCTTGTGCTGTTTTTATTCCCCCCCCCACAAGGCGCAGAGAGAGACACGCGAAAACGATTGATATTGCACAAGAGGAAGTTCTGACTTGTCTGGGCATTCATCTCTACGAGCGGCTGCACAGGATCTGGCAGAAACTACGAGCAGAGGAACAGACATGGCAGATATTGTTCCATCTGGGTATCGACGCACTACGGAAAAGCTTTGAGGTACTCCACGTTCGCTTTGAGGACGCCGCACAGTTTTGCCGCTCGGCGTTTAACTGAGTGCTTTTCTGACCTCCAGATGGCAGTGGAGAAGATGCAGGGCATCAGTCGGCTCGAACAGTTTGTGGAGGAACTGTCGGAGGAGGAGAGAGCCAAAGAACTGAAAATGGAGAAGAAGAGACAGAAACGGAAAAACCGACGCAAAAACAAGTGCGGTTTTGATTTGTCTGAACAGGAGGCAGAGAACAAGGAGAAAATCCTGGATGAGGTGAAAATTCTGAGTTCACACAGCGCTAGTGGGCTTTAATATAAACCGACAGTTCTGCATTTCAATGTTTTTGTTTTGGCGTCACAGGGTTCCTTTGATTCAGTCGAGGGCAGCTGTAAGGCCTGTGGTAGCCACGATGAGGAAGAGGAAGAGGCTGGGTGTGAAGAGACGGTGACCACCAGCAGAAACGCCTCCTGTAACTGCTCAGATAACACCAAGCGAGGTATAACCATTTACACAATATATATATATACACGTCTAAGTCCTGCCGAGTGTGAATTTAAAGAGAAATAACAAGTCGGGACACAACATTGTCCTCAGATTTGTCCCATAACAGTAATGGCAGCGACTACGGCTACTCATCAAGTATGGAGGGCAGCGAGATGGGATCGCGAGAAGGCTCTGACGTCGCCTGCTCTGAGGGAATGTGCAACCACGAAGCAGGTCCAGGTTAAACACACACAGACGGTCATCAGATATTTTACCCTGTATGTGAAATGTGGTCCCTCTGATCTCACAGTCTGCTCTTACTTCCCCTCTGAAGGGGATTACCCAAACGTCCACCACTGTGTCGAAGACAAAGAGGAGGACGGGACAGACAGCTGTGTGGACTGCTGGCCGCACTCTGAGGAAAACAGTCAGTGCAAGAGTAAAAAGAAGAAGAAAAAGGGCAAGAGCTGCAACGATCAGGTGAGGCAGCAAACTGAGGACATGCCAGTTTGTTGAATGCGGCATATTCAACCACGTGTTTAAGGTAAAAACTCTTATGTTCCCTCAGGAGCCAAAAACCGAATGTTGCACGTCGGACGGGAACACCATAGGCCACAATCTGACCTCATCAAGCACTTGTCGAACCAAAGACATTTTTTCCTCCTTATGTGGCGATAAGCTCGCCAACATTGCACTACGGTCACCATGGGCAGTCCATCAAAGCAACCTCAGCCTTCACATGAGGCCTACAAAGGCAAATTTAAGCTTGGTAGAACTCCTGGTAAGATTATTATTATTTTTGCCCTGTTCTGATCGCCATCAGTAGAAAAGTAGTAATTAACTTTATATTTAATGTTGGGAGAACTAGTTATGAACCTACTGTTCAGATTGCACGACGGGATTATTGGGGCCATATAAATAAAAACTAAAATTACAAGAATAAAGTCATTTTATGAGAAGGACTTTATGTACTTGGCGTGGCTCTAACACTCCATAAGATTTGGATCATACATGACCATCTTTTTTCCTTTTCCTCGATCAGGACGATTCCGAGGTAACGTCCGATGAAGAGAGCGGTCTGACGCAGGACGAAATCCAGGCATTTCTAGAACAGAACCAGTCCTTCTACAGCAACCGCCACCAGTACCGACAGCTCCTCAAGGAGAAATTCACCAACTACTGCCGGGCCACCGAGCGGAGCAAGCGAGTCTGTGGAAAGTGGTTCGCCACGACCAGCGTCAAGTAAACGTCATCGTCCCGTGGAAAATTTAAAAGCACTCGTGACCACTGCTGCAAGGTTGTTATAAAAAGATACATTTCAGGTGTATCCTTCGGTGTCTTGTTGGGTCATTTCTTTAAAATCAACGTGGTTTATTAATTGTTTTGTTTTTCTCCTCGACATCTCTGATTCTTTTGCACTTGTACACTGATGCAGTTGTTCATCTCTATTTGCCACATTCATACATGTTAGTTGTTCTCTTTGACCAAGCCTAGCTATTTATTGTTAGTCTTGTGTAGGGTTTCGGGGTTAGAGCACAGTGGAATATGAAATCAAGTTTTACAAGCTGTGATATTAAGGAGGAATTTTAGTTGTCTTATTTTTATTTTTGTTTCCATTTTCTTCTCTCTCTCTCTTTCTCTCTCTCTCTCTTTATGGTGACAGTTCAGTGTAGTGCTTACAGGTTGCACCATGAAATGTGTACAGAAGTATAAATATAAAAATTTTACAGAGAATAAACATCCATTTGTAATAAACTTGGGGTGTGTTAAAAGCGCAATGTCAAGAAAAATTTACTAAATAAAGAGTATTTATTGATATGGATTATACATGTGGTTTTTTTCCCTCCTCTACATATTATTTTTTCTTCACAATATATGAAACTTATATGCAGTTTTGCAAACCAATTATTATAGCCAAAAACATGATTTTCTATTTTCTAAGTACAGCTGTGCCCAAAATTGTACCAGTCGGTATAAAGAAATGGCTCAAACTTTCTCTGCAGACCCATTCATTGTATAAACTCCAACTGGAAAGACAACCATCAGCATCTACAATTCTCTGAAAAACCTTGAATAATGAGCTACAGCAACATTTAGCTTCCCTTTGGGATGAATAAAGTATTTTTAAAATGAACTGAAACACAAAATACTTGGGAAAACATGTAGTTTTCCTGTAAATGACTGGACTAAAGCTTTGGTAAACAAATGATTGAGGGCTGCTTCAGATCTGTCATGTGGACTAGACCATTTTCTGCCACCTCTAAGCGGGTGTTCCATCCCCGGACGATTGGGTTGCATCCCAGTTACTCTAGGTACTGCCTCAGACAAAACCTGGAACAACAGGTTTCACATCAGCTGACTAGTTTTCTATTGGTCTAATCTAAGGCGTCAGATTTCTGAAACTTGTTTTAACTGGAAACTATATCCTGTTTCCAGGATACAGTTTCCAGTTCCTCTTACTGCTTTTGATACCGTTCATTTCAAGGACAGAAAAGTCAAAAGTCCCTATTTTATTTTATTGATCAGACTTCAAATTTTACACCGTGGCTTAGTTGGGATATCCCAGATAGCAGGAATCTGAAGCTCCAGTACTTGACGGCCAGTGTCTTCCAACCTTTAGGTGCAAGTCTGCTTCAACAAACCTGAATGAAATACTTTGGTCATTAGCAGGACTCTATAGAACTTGATTTCATTCAGGAAAGGCAATTCAATAACTTGTCTTTAAAGGGGCAGTATTGTGTATTTTCCAGACACACTGTGCTATTTTATTGCACAAACAAGCAACTGTTACCTTCAGTTGGTATAAAAAGGCTGTGTATATCTAATATGACTTGAAAGAAATTTAACTTCTGCATTTTTTAACTTCTTCAAACTGGTCCTGTCTCTGTAAAAACTCCAGCTTTTTCTGATCTCAGGAAGTCATCATGACATCACTCCCCTATTAACTTTTTAACAGCATTTTAGACCGAAAAGTAGCTCATATAATGAGCTCAGTAGATGCGCAATTCCACCAGGTGTTTGCTAATTGCTGCCGCTAGTCTGAAGGAACTGAATGAGGGAGGAGCTGCGCCTTGAAGGCGGAGCTAGGTCCAACCAGGCGTTTTGCACAGTTGAATGGTTGCCATGGGAAATTAAAGCATTTCTCAAACAAATGTGAAAGAATCAAAGCAATACTCCGGGTATGTTTTTGATGATGTAAATCTCAAGATGTGGATTTTACATAATGCTGCCCCTTTAAGTGTGTTCAGACAAGGATGCATTGAAAGGTTGCAGAGCACCAAACCTTGAGGACAGAAGTTTGAAACTTGTGCCTCACAGAATGCTCCGAACAAATCTACGCTCACACAAATCCACTTCAGGGCTTTATTCACACATTTGAGCCTTTTACTAATTCTGTCAAAACAGCTGCACGGATTACAGTTAAAAACATATTGGCAGCATTGTGGATCTCCACTTTATAAATGCATACAGAATTAGTGATCTGACATAAATCCAGTTTCAGATTAAAATGACAGGAAAAATGTAATACGGTTCTAACAATCAGTGCCAAACGTCCCTCCTCTGCTGAAGAGCTTCACGCCTACTGGGAGCAACTTGGTAAATCAAGTAACTTATTAATATTTCAGCTAGTTGCGTAGACCAGTTCATGAATCTCTGCACCAGCTCACTGTTTGTGAGTAAACTCCAGAAAGTTTCTATTGGGTTTATAAAGCTTGAAATGTTCTTTGGCTGTAATACATTTCTGAATCAAGTGTGAACTTCATGTCATCAGAGGCCCGTGTTGGATTAATAGCTAATAAAGCATATGGTTAATTTGTCAGCCTATTCTAATCTCACGCCTTTGAATGTTTAATTTTCAGTTAAAGAAATAAAACTGACTGTCCAGGAATGTGAACAGTGGCTCACATTCTTGGACAGTTTGTACTGATGTTAGTACCCGGTGCTTTCCTCGCTGTGCACCGGATTTAATCAGACTAAGCATTTTTCTCATGTTACATTTCATTTTATTGGAAATGTTAGGATTCTGGGTGGGAGAAACTTGTAATCAGAAAGTTTTATGTTAATTAAATGCTCTTGCATTGGTTTTGACAAACAGGATTATTTTGAAAAAAGTATTCTAAATGATGTGAAGGATGAATGACCCAGTTGTGCCCAAGGAATTGGCAAGTGTGCTGTAAGAATGCAAATAGTAATCTTTTTTTATTTGATTGTTGTGTTCACAGAGTTACAATCTGATGCCATAACTTTAATCTTTTTTGTATTTGAACTCAGTTTGTTCACAAAACACATTTTAGCAGATAAGAACTAATTATCAGATTGCTTTTAAGCTCAGCTAAATAAATCTGGCCCCCCTTCCTGTATCCACTAAATTTGTATTCAAGTTTAGGGCCCTCAAATGAAATTCTGCTAAGGACCCCATACAACCTTGGGGCAACCCACTTTTTAAAGACTTTCTGGGGGCATCTCAGAAAGCACACCCTGCCCCACCAGTGGTATTTGTGCCACAGTTTCACCTTTGACTTTTACTCTTCCATCCTCTCCACTAGGTGGTGCTAATAAGCTACTCTCAACACTTCCCAACCCAGTGCGGTGGCTCGAAATGAAAGTGGGAGGTGAAGTGAGTCAAACATTTCAACGCAGCCGGACTCTTCGCATTTCGGTCCGAGAGGCGCATGGATCGATCTTTACGACCTCTTATTGCCGCCGTCGTCCTGGATGCTGCGCAGATTGATACGGGACTCTGGAACGGGTACATCCCATATTTCGAATACCGTGCGTAACCCCCGCGACATCCTCAACCGCGGCAGCCTGATTTAGGGCTTGGCAGAAGCGCAGCGCGGGGAGCTGTAGGTTCGCGTCAGAAACGGTCCCGGTGAAGACGCTGGTGGAGATGGAGCGGTGGAAAGGCAGAGTGGCCCTGGTGACCGGAGCCTCAGTGGGGATTGGAGCGGCTGTAACCCGGGCTCTGGTCCAGCAGGGCATGCGGGTTGTCGGCTGTGCCAGGAATGTCGACAAAATTGAGGTAAGCGGTGTCGTTTAGAGGAATGTTATTAAGAAGAGAGAAAAAAGAAAGAGAAAGAAAAATTGAGTGTTGTCAGAGCAACAACATTCCTGCTAACTAACGTTAACGGCTAGCTAACATTAGCTTTACTGTTGAAGCTACAGACCTTTAGCCCCTGTGTTACAAAGTCTTTATCCAGGTGGAGAAACACGGTGAAGCAGACGCTGTAGGTTTGTTTGGAAGTATTAGGCGTGCCCTGCTAAGTTTAGCAAATTAATGAAAAATAAATAAAGCCGTTAGTTCATAATTACATGTGCCATTTAACATATTAACAGTTAAATCATGGGAGACAGAGATATTTCCTGTCCTGTAGTGTTCTATCTATATAGTGATGATGGTGTATGTCGCACATTTCTACACGGAGGGAGCAATAATAATCCTTTCGTTTTCACATCACTGACAACTGCCCATCCCATCCTTAAGATATAACCACCTCTAATCTCAGTGTCTTCCTAGAAATCAGTTAGCAACACCTAAGTTCCTATTACTCAAATCTACCCATTGAACAAAATGAGTCAAATTCTAATTATTTTGTTTCAAGATCATTCTATTAAAATTGGTCAATTTAATCACTCAAATTGATTGAGTTTGTCAAATAATGTCAAACTTTAGACACAACAGGCACTATTTGGCAACTTCTGTTTTATTAATCATATGTGTATCTGCACAATCAAGAGTCAGTCATTCATAAAGAACGCCACGTTGGCGTTTATTTAACATTTCTCAATCCAGAACCATCTCCCTAAATGTACATTTAAGAACGACAAGCTCAGATGGATCAATACCAAATAAATCTCAAGGATACAGTTTCACAGACGCTGCCGTTAGCGCACGCCAGCACGTTTTACGTCTGAAGTTGATCCAGTTTATCACGACTCAGTCCTTTACAGGGGAATCATGACTTGCAAGAACCTTTGCTGTTTCTTTCTTTCATGAAGTTGTTTCATTTTAGAAAGACAGGAAAACAAAACAGAGGATAAAGCAGGGATAAAAGCAGAGACGTCACTGAAATAGTATTGTATACTTTTAAAATCCTTTCTAATGTGGTATGCAAATCATTTACAGCTGAAATCACTAGCAACAACTCTATGAAACTACTGCTGGGCTAGAATTGAAGCTTTTACAGTTCTGAACTTTTATTATACGGATATGTATTCATAATACAACTCAAATGAGTTTCTTTTTTTTAATCAGGCTTAATGTTCTCTGAATTAACATATTCTGTTCAATTGTAACCAACATTTTCAGGTAGGATTTGTTACCCAAAAAGGTGTTCTAACGACACACACTTGTACTAACCAATAAGCTTGACTAAAGTAATTATCATGGCTAATATTTAATCCATGCCCAGATTTCTTTTTATTGGTAAACTATAAGGCCAAATTAGTTTCGTTTCTGACTGACACCTCTGTGTATAAATATCACAATTGAATTCTTGGTATCATAAACTTGAAAAAAGATATTTGTAGTTGGTATTCAGGTTCCGCTTAATAAAACCAGGTTGGATCACTCCGAGTGTCAGCTGGAGGACAGAGGACTCTTTCAAGACAGGTTTCTGCCGCCCTGCCCCTTTAAGCCTGAAGGTTCTGCACCTTGCTTATCTTTTCTGAGAATATTTAGGCCTCGCCCGTGTCGCCTCATTGATTCAAGGGCTTTTGAAATGCTTACCTTTATACCCTATTACGAGGAATGCTGCTGTCGCCAGGGTTTCCCCCAGAAAACTTGCTAAGCCTGGTGCTCAGGGCGCTAGGGCAGTCATCCAGAGGTTCGCTGGATTTTTGAGCTAAAAAAATGTTTAAAGTTGACAGGAAATTTGGAAATATCACTTGATAATTTTGTGTTATTGGAAGACTGGAAGATTAATACCTAAACATCGACTATAAAGTATTTTTTTAAAAAAGACAATCATTAAAAATAACTAAAATGTACAACCATTGTTTAGCCTGGTGGGGGCACAAGTAAAGCCTGGTGGCCCGCCAGGCTTATAATACAACAGGGGAAACCCTGACCACAGTTGGAGTGGAACACCATAGCTTCGCCTAGCTGCACAGACCATCAGTATGAGCTCTGTGTGGTTTAGTAACCTGGAGTGAAAACACAGCAGAACCACAAATGCTTCTCAAACACTTTGTCAGCCAGATTGTTTACTGAAGAAGTCGCGGTGACTTTATGTAAAGCAATTAGTGGACCAGATATTAAACCGAGCCATTAAGCTGGTGTTTTGTGGGAGCATGGGAAAGGTGACAGCTGACCGGCAATGTGCAGTAACAAGTACAAGAGGAGGGGGGGGAAAGCGGCGCTACCTGTAGCTTTTTAAAACCCTGCTGCACCTACCATTAGCCGTGTTTCCATTAATGTTTTCTGTATGCACATCTTGATTTATCGCATTAAAAAAGGTTGTTGACGGTAGTGGCAAAATTTGAAATAACTTCCTCAGTTTCGCAAAAATTAGTTTTTATGCTCTTTTTTTTACTTTTCCAAAAAGACTTAGCATGCTGAAGGGGGAGGGAAACACATTTCCACATAAGTTCTGACGAACATTTACCTCACATACTTTACAGGAATGCATATCGTCAACATCTGACGAAATGATGCTTTTCGTAAGCTAATTGATCCGCTCTAAACTAGTTAAGTTGTACGCCTAATTGGCATTTTCTCTTCTTATTTTTTTTTTTATTTTGTTTTGCCGATGTCTTTAAAAGCTCTCTCAAAGCTGACGTGACAACTTGATGGACAGATAGCTACTGTTCGGTATCCTGTTTGTAACAAAGTTACGAGCCTTCCTGGCTCCTCCGGGGCAGACTCCCGTGATACTACGTTGTGGCATAAGGTGTGTAATTTAGTATGACTAGTTTACATCCTTCCTTTATCTCCAAAGTAGAATCAGATATGTTGGAAATGTAGCTCCACCAGTTTCTGCGTCCTCGCTCTTTACAGTTTGCAGTAAATGTCTGAACACCTTCACGGTTTCGAAACTGCTCAAATTTCCTATTATGCTGTTCTTTGATTTTAAATAAAATGTCAGAGAAACCCAGCAAAGTCAGCTTTCTGAATTAATGCACAGAATATAACCAAAATTAGGTGAGTTTTCATCCCATATCCTTTTTTGGTTAAAGTATTTTATTTAAATTGGTTTCAAATTAAAGCAGCTACAGCATTTAATTAAAATTTTTTGAAAAAATTGGCCTTAAACTGTAGTAGTTTTTGTTTATGCTTATCATAATGTTAAACAGAAATAGGCGAACGTTTCCTCCTACCCTGACTATAAACACACACCCTTACCCACAGCAGCTGAGAGTGAGTGTGAATTGTGCAACAGTCGTCCTCCCTCCATTCATACTCCAGTCACATGGCCGCATCCTGTCAATAGTTAACTGTGACAGCCTGTGTCAGCTAAACAAGGTCAAAAAATGTAAGCTCTACTGTACCTAGTTCTTCCCGTTTGTAAGAGTTCTGTATTTCACTCCTTTAAAAGGAAGGCAGACTTCATTTCAGGGGGGAAAAAAATACAAAATCACAATGTAGAATTGTTTTACTTTCAGTACTTTTTCTTTATAGTATGTCTGTTCAAAGAGTGGGTCTGAGCCAGTACTGTGCTAACCCTGCTTTGTAAGCTTTTCCTTGCAGTTGTGCCAAACCCGGCATGCTGTTCGCCGGGTAACGTATGTACCCAATGCATCACCAAGCAAATTGTCACCAACTTCCTCCCTCCGGCTTTTACTGCCTTCGCCTCGGGAAGCGAACCTCCTCACTTCAATGTTCCCTCTGAGCAATAAAGCAGATGAAAAGAGAGGGGGGGTGGGGGGGAGCGTCAGAACCGCGGCCCGAGCGCCACAGTCGTCTGTTTTTTGTACAAACAGGACTCGCGAGAAAAGCGGATCGGAGAGTCGTGGCGGCAGCATTGTTTTGTTGTCAGTGAGAATAGACAGTGGTCGGGCGGGTTTTTTTTTTTTTTTTTTTTGGGGGGGGATTGGTGGGCCCCCGGGGCTT